GATATGGATGTTTCCATCTGTTTGAGCACACTCTTAGGTAAATGTTTCCATGCACCACTCAGTTTATATTTTCCTCCTGTCTTTTTCACCCCTTATGCCTGCCCTCTGCTATTGCTCGGGGCAGAACAGCTGGCCTCCTGATCTTTATTGTAATTTTATTTGAGTTAGCAGGCAGGACATGCACAAAAGAGAGGTCAGTTTCCTTTTTCCTGTGTCAGCGGTGCTCCTTCATGGTAATATCATGGTAATAAAATGAACACCACCAGTGCTGTGGATGTTAGAGCCAGTCCAGTTTGTTCCACGATGAACCGTGTTATCCCCATTCTATAGATAGTGTAGGATGGGTGCCTGTAGCATAAACCTTTTCCAAAACTTCCGGTTTTTGGAATGCAAGACCTAAGCAGGCATGCTGAGCTGAGCTGTGCATTGAGCCCTTATGGCAGAAGCCCCCGCAGGAGATACAGCTGTGGTAACAGACTGCGTGATCTCAGTGCTAAGCTCATGACGTAGGTGTTTTAAGTCCATTATTTGTGTCTCTTCTGTCACTTTAATGTTGCTTTGAAAGTGTATTGGTTTGACTTTTAAAGTAAATTACAACCAAAAGGAAAAGCTCCTTCTGATAGGTAAGGCTACTGAAACATGTTTTGGGGAATTTGCCCCTCTCTTGTGCCTTTCTTTTTCTTTCCCTTAATTCATGTGATAGTGATCCTGTTGCTCAGGTTACAAAGGATTTTCAGCAGCTTCAAGCAGTCACATGAAGTAAAGGAAAATTATGTCAGAGCAGGAAGAGGTAAGAAAGGAAGGCGTTATTTCTCAATTCCTCTGTGGTCTTGTTCCAGGACTTAGAGCCATCTCAGTCACCCTGGTGTCTCTGAGCAACCTTCTGTGTAATGTTTAAATGATAAAAAGAGAAGGACTGAGAGTTAATTTGTTAGGAGAGAAAAGGATTTCTAGCCTGTGCCTGAAACTTCAAGGCTTATAATAATTTATACAATAATAATACCAGCACCTAGCAATTACAGCTTTTCGTGACTTGAAGGCATTCTGCAAGCATGTTTTTCTCAGGGCTGCCTTTATGAACTGGAAAACTACTTTAATTGATACTAAATCTGATAGACAAGGAGCTGAAGAGGTAGAATTTGGGGTTTGACAGCAGTTTTTAGAGAGGGAAGATGTAGAGATGGTAAACAGTTGGCACATCTTCTATCTTTACAGAGCTCCAAAAGTTAAACTATAGCCCTTCCTTGACAACTTTGTCCTGTACTAACCCACCTGTTTATCTCTCTTTAATTTTGAGGCATTAACAATTGCTCTAGGGAAGTTAATTCTTCTGGAACATGTAGTACTATGCCAGCTCTGCTTAGAAGTCTGTAGCAAAGTCTTAACATTTGTTCTGAAATATTTGCTGTCGTCCAATGTGTCATTTTGACTGTTAGTAGTTCAGGTGCCCAAATGCCTATGTAACAGTCACACATCGTTTAGCCAGTTGATGCTGGATCTTTGTCCTCAGCGGGACATTCTCCTGCTGATTTGGATGGCTTTCTGTTACCTCTCCCTGTGATCCCAGAATACAGGGAGCAAATGGTTTAGTGTTTAATGTTCTACACATACTGACGTACATACAAATAATTGACCCTGTGTTCCTAGTGTTCCGCCATGTACATTCACTTGAGTATCTATAACGCTGAGAGAGCCCAAAATAACACGGGTGGACATGATGCTGAATGCAAAATGCAGATCAGTACAGTAAGAGAAAAAAGAGCAAAGATTTGAGAAGAAAAATAATTTTGAGTTGTAGTTAACTGGTGTTCACTAAAATATGTGAATCCTATTTGAGAGTCCTATCCTATCCTACCATTCTATTACCATTCTCTGAGCTTTTTTTTTTTTTCTTTACTTTTTCCCAGATAAATTCTGCAGAATTCTGTTCACTGATTAGACTGATGGGGCAACTTGTTTTTGAGACTTACCTTGGACTGGCAAAAGTGAATTTAAGTCCTGTGGAAAATGTCCATGCCTAGGCTGTGTAAAACTCACATACATTTGGTTTTCCTGGCAAGACTGAAATTCAGTGCAGGCTGGGGGAGAGACTGAAGAGAAAATATTCATGAGCTTTCCAGGGAAAGTCTGGACAGATGATTTTACATCAGAATTGCATGAATTTTTGATGAAAGTTGGCAAGTTTTAGCATAAGTATGGCATTTGTCCACCTATTCTGAGAAAAATATTTTCTAAAGCCAAATGCCAGACAAGCGTTTGGCCCTTCCTGAGCCCTTGATAAGCCAGATGCATCATGGGGCAAATCCTATCTGTGAACTTGACTAGAAGAAAGAGGGTGGCACAGAATTTTCTTGCAAAGTCACAGAGGAAAAAAATGCTTCATGAGACAAACAGCAATGATACACATCTGACAGCTCTGATACAGATTATTCCCAAGCAAAGGCCTTTGGACATTTATTTGTCTTACGTTAGATATCTACTTGTTTGATGTATCTCCTGGTATGAATAATCATTCCTATCTGTTATTTTTTTAGAGGTATAGCTTCTCTCTGTTATTACTAAAGCAAAGTTCTGATTGAAGTCTGTTCTGTTAGTTTTCAGTTCTTAAATTTTATCTAGAGAATAACATGCCATATTTCCCAAACAGTTTCCAAGAGGTAAATATGTTCACAGAATCACAGAATCACAGAATGTTAGAGATTGGAAGGGACCTCGAAAGATCATCTAGTCCAATCCCCCTGCCGGAGCAGGACACCTAGATCAGATCACACAAGAACGCATCCAGGCGGGCTTTGAATGTCTCCAGAGAAGGAGACTCCACAACCTCTCTGGGCAGCCTGTTCCAGTGCTCTGTCACCCTCACTGTAAAGAAGTTTTTCCTCATACTCAAGCGGAACCTCCTATGTTCCAGCTTGAACCCATTGCCCCTTGTCCTATCACTAGATGTCACAGAGAAGAGCCTGGCTCCATCCTCCTGACACTCACCCTTCACGTATTTATAAACATTAATTATTAACATACATAGTGATTGCAATTGCTGCTTTGAGTGGACATGGCAATAGTAAAATTTTATTATTTCTTATGTAGAAAGAATAATTTGAAAAATATTTTTAAATCAAGATCTCTTTAAGATATAGAAGTCTTTCTAGAGTCATATTAACCATAGGTGATTGCTGGCTAGGACTTATGTTCTGCAACTGAAATGTAAATCATTCATTGCAGATACAAAGGAGTTTTTAAAAAGCATATACAGCTCTAATTCCTTGTTATTTTACTCTGCTCTTGCCATTCCAAAGAGAATGCACTTTTGGGCTTTTTACATTTGCAGGATGAAGAAACTGTACCTAAACTGAAGTGTGAGAGGACAGAATTAAAATAGGACTTTCTCTGTTGAGAAGTGATTGTAACAAGCACAATATTTAGTAGTAATTTTAATGACTTGGCAAAAGAGCAGCAGCTAAATTGTTTGTGTAGACAGGTATGACATAAACTCATTTGATTTTGTTTTTTGTTCAAAGCATTGTGTAGAGCTTTGTTTGTTTTGTTTGGTTTTTCATTTATTGGTTAAGAAATCAGGGTCAAGTAAAGGTGATCAGTAGGGTTGCTTGTTAAATTTTCCTGTGCTTTTTGGATTAAACAGGGAAGAGATTTCTTAAGAGAAGTGCCAGAAGGACTTCAGATTGTTTGGTCTTTTTTCAGATCTCCTTAATCCATGTTGCTGAAGGGAAGGAATGATATGGTCCAGACCTTATAAATTGGCACATTTTAATATTTACTTTTGCAGCATTTGCCCACAGACATGAATTTGTGCTCCACATGTTAATCTCCTCTAAGCATGTTTGACTTTAATGGACTTGTATTCTGCTTCAATGATTATTCAGTAGATAGATATCTACAGATATGGAGCTTTTTGAACAGTGACATGTCAGACTGCTCAGACTTGTGCATAACTAAGTTTAATCATAAACTCACTTCACACCAATAGCATTCATGGTGTTACTCCATCACTCTGCTGGCACAGTTAGTTTGTCTCCTCACTCTTTTGATCTAACCGTCTGACCATTTGTATAAATGAAGAAAACAACTCTTACTGTCAGAAACTGTTAGGTGGCTGAAACAGATTCAAAATAGTGGTTATATTAAGCTTATAAAAAGATATATGTAAATTTAAGGTGTCCAGGATTACTGTTTTGTTTGATTTGATTTGATTTTTAAACGTGTCAAGTTTAAAGCCAGAATGTAGGAGGGTTAAATCTTTGAGTGTAAGAAAATTAACTTCATAGTTTGGTAATCAAGTGTATGATTCTCTGAAAAGAAGGCTTTCACAAAGAACTCAGCTCTGCCAGTTTATCTTTGCATATCATTTAATTAACTGAGAGAAGATTCAGTTGCCATTTGAAAAATTATATTTTACTTGTTTTTCATATGGTACTGTCATAGTTGTTATCTGTACTCACCCATCTGGGCAGTTTCATAAATATGGCCATTTAATGAGGTCTGTAGCCTGAACCTTGAGAGTTCATGCTGCTTTTGCTGGAATGTATCCAATTTAATACAGTTACAGGTGGTATTACTCAAAACACACTTTTGTGATTTCTGTTAAGGTAATTGTTACAGTACCTCCCGACCCTAAGCTTCACAGATTAAGTGTGCATAGGAAGAAAGTCTCATCTACATGGCTTCCACTCATCATAATAGAAATAATTCTACTTCTGTAATTTCTAGGTTGTTTTGTGCAGCAGATTTCACAAGAACTCCACGGTTCCTATTACGTAGAGACATTATCAGTGTAGTGTACTTACTGGTTTCTCTTTTCTGCATAGCTTAGGTGTACTCAGTGTAACACTTCACAAAACATATGCTTAGTATGATACTTCATTATACCAAGTCTGAGAATATTATTAAATGACTTACCTTTTACTACAGTTAAAAGGGGGATTTATAAATATCTCTGTTGGTATTTCTGCTTTAAATAATTCGATATATGTCTTCCTCTTCAGGCTGTGCTGAGTCCTCTTATAGCAATCGCACTGAAAATATCTCAGATTCATGAGAGGACAGGACGAAAGGGACCCACTGTCATCACCTGAAGCAACGGAAGATTGTTAAACCAGGGCCAAAAGAGGAACAGCAAGGAAGAAACAGGACCTTGCTGAAACATGTTAGCCATTTGTGCCTTGTATGATTTTAAAAGTTTTATTGGGGATAGAGGGAGGGTGGGAAGAAAAATTCAATATAATATCGAGCATATTCATTTGCATTGATCTCCAGATACAGTAGTGTATTGACTTCTTTGTTTTACCTGCAATATCTTAATTTCAGATAGCAACGTAACCAAAGAAAGAGGCCTTAACCTTCAAATGTTGTCAACAATGTGACAGAAAAAGAAAACTTGGTTTTGAATGCTATGATAAAGGTTGGGGAAATTTCAGTTAGGGAGAGAGGGAGAGGAGTTGCAAAGCAAAGACGGGCTTAGTTAATATTGTTTGAGATCCTTGTCACCTTCTTGTGGGTTTACAAAGACATATACAGAGCATGGCTGAGCTGTACGCTTTTAAGCGTATGCTGTATGCTGTACATTGCAAAGGGTATATTTCCTCACCTGACACCACTCCTCTCCAGTCTCTCCCCTTGCTCACAGATGCACACTGGCAGCAGTGTTGTATACACACTTGCACATGCACCTGAAGAAGGGGTTATCCCGTATTTTTTTTTAACCCTGCTCTTAAAGCATATCAATGTGACTTGTGCCTTTAGAATTTCCTGATTTTTTGACTCTGTGTTTTTTTTCCTCCAAAGGGAGGCATTTGTGCTATAGAAGCTGATTGTGTCCTTCCAGACATATGTTGGGTGTGGAATCTTGCTATCTTTTGCAATATTCCTTATGTCAGCAGATGATATTGGTGCTTACTGTGTTTGAAAGGTAATCACTGCAAGTTCAGCAATTTTTCATGAAGGAGTTATTATGGAAGTTTTTTAAGTCTTTGAAATACTTATGCTCACTTAGCACAAAGTGGTAAGTGAAATGTGTAGTGAAGAGAAAAGAACAAACGCTAATGAATGAAAGATAAATAATTCTCTAATTCACCAGCTGGACGCAGTTTCTGTTAGATTCTTTGTAACAGTGGATCATGGGATAAAAATTTGGGGAGTACAAAGGGAAAAGAGATGTCCCAGCATAGATCTGAGAAGGATACTGGGGATATGGACATCAGCATTTTTCTGCTTGTGAAATGATACTGCAGTTCTAGCTATAAAACTGTGCTCTGAAGAAAAACACAAACACTTCATGCATGTGACTTGTTTGAAAGCTTTGCTTCCTTGGGAACAGTGTGGTCACTTGTATCGTGTCAAGGTGGCTTTGTGCAACTTGCCTCTTTGCAGTGTGTTTCAGTTCATTGTAGTTCTCAAATTTTGGTGCGATTTACATAGTATTGCAGCAGAGGAGACTTGTTTTGATTTCTTTCAACACTTCTGTTAAAAAATTGCTATGGCACTTAGTACACAATAAAGATTAATGCTGTTTTTCTGTCCTAATACGTGATTGTTGACAAAATACACTGCACTTTCAAGCATCCTAATAAAACTGCCTTTAATACATTATCTACTTAATTGACTCTGAACGAATAGTATGTTCTCACATATTCTACCTTACCATTAAGTGTTCCCATAAACCAAAAGAGATTTTAAGGCGTCAGTTCTTTATTTTATAATGATTTTTTTTTGAGACAACCATGGCATTTTCTCACACAGTTGGGACATCTACTTTTGAATGTAAGAATGATCATAATTACAGAAACCTTGTTTATCTAATCTTCCATTTTTCTTGCAGATCAAACTCCTCTAGATGCAGGCTAGTAAGCTTCTAAATAGTGGATCACACATGGTCAAGCATAGACATACTCTGGATTATGACACTTAGTTCAAATTACTGGGCTTCATGAGAGAACGTTCTGAAGGGCAGTCCAAAAACTTCTAAAAACTTTTACAGTTTCTCTGACAATGAAGTAATTTTTGATCACATGGGGAACTAGCTAGTTATAGTACCAAGTATCCCATTTGCCAAGCTTCTGGGACTGGGACTTGCATTTTGAAAAGTAAGAGGTACTGAAGCCAGGTGTCTTTCAAGATGCAGTGGGAAGACTCATGAAGAACAAATCAGGACTGTGAAGAAGCGTACTTGTGCTTTTATCAGAAAGTCAGTAGAGCACTAGCTGCAGTAGATGGCAGTCTGCTTTCATGAAGGCAGTCTTTGTGAACAAAGGATGTGTTTTAAAATCCATCAATACTAACTTTGTCCTGGGCTTCAGAAATCATAGTTGTGCCTCTGTACTGAAATGGAGAAAAGGGCTGTTTGTGTGTGGTTAAACAGCAGACTTCCAGAACTAACTTAACCCCAAGTCTACTCGCCATCCCTTTTTTATGATGACTAGTGACACTGATAAAATGTAACAACTCATATTTTCCATCAGTTAATTGCTTTTCTTTTCCAGACAAGGGATAAAACTTTGTGAGATTGAAATACAGTGTGTATTTTTGTATCTGATCTGTTTGGGGAAGGACTGTAGCCGTAATCTCATAAAGTGTGCTGCATTTCCTGAGATACTCATATTTACTAATATGAGAGATGAATGCTTGGAAAAGAGCAAAATATATTAATTTACAGAAAGATGCAGTGCTTCTAAAACCAGACTATACACCTAGCAGAGGGAAGACTATATTAATAATGTTTGTCTTATCACAGTGTCTAGGCACTTTGACAGAGACCCAGACCCTTCTCTGGCTATTGTTGGATTAGCAGTTTTATCAAGTCTGGAAACTGCAAGATTCCCATGTTGTTCAGCTGTGATTACACTAACATTTACTTTAACAGTAATTTTGTTTCCCAAGACCTCACATTTTTCTGAACCCAACAATACAAAGAATACTCCCAGCGCACTGGAGGAAAAGGAGGAGGAATTTCTACAAGTACATTGGCGATAAAAGGAAAGCTAGGGAAGATGTGGGCCCTCTCCAGAAGAAAACTGGAGACCTGGCCACGAGGGATATAGAGAAGGCTGAGGTGCTCAATGACTTCTTTGCCTTGGTCTTCAATGGCAAGGGCTCTGGCTGCACCACCCAAGTTGCAGAAAGTGAAGGTAAGAACTGGGAGAAGGAAGATCCACCCACCATAAGATCAGGTTCGAGACCATCTAAAGAACCTGAAGGTGCACAAATCCATTGGACCTGACGAGATCCATCCATGGGTCCTGAGGGAACTGGCAGATGAGGTTGCCAAGCCATTAACCATCATATTTGAAAGGTCATGGCAGTCTGGTGAAGTTCACACTGACTGGAAAAGGGGAAACAGAACCCCCATTTTCAAGAAGGGTAAAAAAAGATGACCTGGGGAACTACAGGCCCATCAGTCTCACCTCTGTGCCTGGCAGGATCATGGAGCAGATCCTTCTGAAGGCTCTCCTAAGGGACATGGAAAATGAAGGAGAGGTAACCAGCATGGCTTCACCAAGGGCAAAATGTGCCTAACACACCTGGTGGCCTTTTATGATGGAGTTACAGCATCAGTGGACAAAGGAAGAGCAACTGATGTCATCCTTCTGGAATTCTGCAAAGCATTTGAGACTGTTGCGCATGACATCCTGGTGGCCAAATTGGAAAAATACGGATTTGATGGATGGACCACCCACTGGATAAGGAATTGGCTGGATGGTTGCACTCAGAGA